TACTCGGCCCCACCGGAGAACGCGTCGGTGAGGCACCCTAGCTTGCAAGAGCGTCTCTTGTCGGTGTCTGTTGGGCTCGAAACATTACGATTTTCTCCCATTTAAACGAATCCGAGTTAGACCTCTCTGACTCGGAAAGAAAACATCCATTCGGAAATGAAAGCTTTCCCCAGTGGACAATTTTTATTGCCCCCTTGTGGTGATTAACCAGTAGTCCTATGCTTTTGACCTCTGCTAAAGGTACCAGTCCTTGGTACAAAGTAAATGACACATTTGTGTCATCCTTTGCTGGTTGTGGTCATTCATTGCTGGATTGATCACTGGCTTGATGCTGCGTAGTGATATGAAAATCAAAAAATAAGAATTTAGAGTTCATTGTCACGTACATTTATAATCTATATGAAATGTTTTGTGCACGTATAAAAAAAGCAATTCGTAACAAAGTAATAATTATTTGCGAACAGAATATCAATGAGATATTTGTGTCACCAGTTAAAATGAAATATTCTGGGGCCTTTTTTTCCTTTCATGATGGAGTCTCCAAAGTAAATTGGCTGCCACATAAGGGCAAGGTTAAGGTGACTTCCTAATCTTCATTATCCATCAATTTACAGTCTTGGTGCAGTTCTACGAATGTTCAGTTTCTAAAGAAGGAAAAATGACAGCAAAATTCTCAGTTGGATGTTGCGTTCAGGCATTCGATGAGTTGGGAAGATGGTGTGCAGCTGAAGTAGTTAAAAATGAAGAATGGTCATACCTTGTGAGGTTTATTGGATATACTGCGCCTGATACCTGGGTGGATGAACGTTTCGTAAGACATCCAGTACTTCCCTATGATGAGTATCATCAGAGACGTAAGTAACATGCTCATGTTCAATTTTAACATTCAATTGTTGGTCTACCGGTATATCCGAAAGAAATATGATTTAAAAATTATATGTTTTTTCAAAAGATACCGGTACTTGTACAAAGAATTTATAAATAAATAACAAATCAGTTATTTTCTTTTGAAGGCACTGTACATGTTTCTGAAAGAAAAACCCAATTAGGAAGGA